AGCAGAAACTGAAATTCTCCTTCTCATCATGAGTGAAATGGCTCACAGCTTGTGAAATATACAGGCCAGTCTGTCAGGGACATTTAGTGTTTCAGCTAGACAAATGTCTCTCTCTATTTCGAGTATTTTCCTCAATTCATTTAGTTTAGTTTTTTTATTTCCCACAAACTGTGCATTTTTCAATACAGGTAAAATAAAAATAAAAATCCTAATAAGCAGTTATTTGTATTACAGTTTTTTTTAAGACTGCTTAAGCACAATTTAAGGCTCATTTTGTAAAAACAATTTACACAAACACAAACCATCGATGCACAGCACCACAAGTCCCAATTTAACCAAGTCAGTCGTTAATGAAAAAAAAACTTCACCTACTCACGAAATGAAGGAAAAAAAACCTTGAGAGAAACCAGGTTCTGTTGGGCACAACCATTTTTCCTCTGGCCAAACTTCCTGTGTGGAGCCGTATAGGCGCAGGCAGGCATGGAGACTGAAGGCTAGAGAATGCTGGACGTCCATTGTGGAGAAGCTGCAGGTGTGAGTAGATCACTGGCAGGTGATCAGACAGGCCCACAAGATCAATGCGGGGACTCGTCGGTCACTGAGGACATTCAGGAATCAGTCTCATGCATGTACTACAAACCTCTAAGACCACCACAGCATCAGCTCAGGATACGGCCTGGTCAAGGATTATGGATACCTTGGCATCAGTTCTTTAGAAAAATTAAACACTTCATTTAAAACTTTACAACAATATAACAAAACCCAATTTTGAAACCATATGGAACACACATGCTTCATTCAATATAATTAGCTTTCTTTATTTACACACTGCTGTAATCAATTTTAAACACTCACATCATTTCTAGTTGACTTATACTGATATAATCTGAGTTTGATTTGTTTCAGAGGTATTGCTTTAAGGTACTGTACATGATCATACTGTATTCACAAAACAGTAATAGGCTAAATATTGCCCTATCTTAAATAACAAACCATACAACAATGTACAGCTTATTTATTCAGCTTTCTAGCGATTTTTACATTTCAGTAACAAAAAAATTATCCTTCTTCCCCTGCCTCCTGTTTACTAATCTTCCTCCCTTTCGTGCTTTCTCTTCCTCTTATCAGGACATTGCCTTATTTTTATTGAAGACTAATATTTATAGCTATACTACTGCAAACATATTTATGGGAGATTAACAGTTTATACCGATTGCTTTTTATTGTGGTTCAAGCTGATTGGTCTGTCTTTAGTTTTGCAGCAGTGTGTGCACACCTGATGGCTGTGTTTAACCAATTGGCTCATGTTTGTGTTGCCTTTGCTTTAAATTTGCAAGGAAATTCCATCATGCTGTCAAATGCAAATAAGTGTGTTAATGATTTGCAGATCACTGTGTGTAATGTTTTGCAAAAAGTGTGATGACTATGTGCTTACAGTTGTGCAGATCTACCCTTGTGTTTTGCTTCTAAAATGTAAGGTTTTCAATAGTATCTGGATGCAGCCGTTATGGTGTAAGCTGAGATTGCATCACTTAGCGATGCAATGTCAGACACAATGCACTCAGTGGAGTGAGTGACGTCACTGTGACGAGTAGGGTTAGGGGTGGAGTTAGGTAAGCGAATTAAAAAGCATTGGATGCAGCTTCGCAGTCAGATACCTCTCAAGGTTTTGGGAAAATTTTAGTGTGTAAGCAATCGTAAAAAAAAATTGTAATTGTATTAAATTGACATTTTTAGGGCTTTCGGGTTCATTTCACTCTTTAATTTCACATTTCAGGGGTTACACAAACAGTATAAAAAACTGTTGCTGGGACAATATCATTTTTTAATAGTGCATCTTTATAGATATTTACATTAGATGTCACCTACGCTATTGGTGTCTTTTGAGGGGAATGCGTCAATAGAGCTGCCATTTTAGTACAGGGTAGCACTGCTTTGAAATGAATGTGCAGTGGAGGACTGGCCATACAGAGCCAGATATATATACACATTTATACATATATCTATGATAGAGAGTTTTACCAGTTTATCAGAATGCAAATATTTTTTTTAATTACGAAAACTATAATTTTACATCGCTTTTCTAGATCGATGAATAAGTGACCGCACGGGCATTGCCAACAAAGTGTGTGTTTGTGTGCATGGAAATGTATTATCCTCCCTTCCTGTTACATTTGATCTAATCCGTATCCTAAAACACACCCTCTCTCCTGCTTTCACTTCTCATTCTAATGGAGAGAGTAAATCGTTTGTAAATGAATCTCCGTTATGAACGACTAGTTCTCTTAGCCAACAATAACACAAGTTTCTAGCACCGAAGTATCTTTTTGTCATATTTCATTTACATTGTTTGCTGTTTTGATTCAAACAAACTAGCATAAGCCAACTAGCATAAGCCATTATTTAGAGCGAGTTGGTGCTACTTTTCTTATGGTCAGTGCATCCAGAGGCTGTATTTTCATCAATAACACTTGTTTAGCACAAAAGTTAGTAACAAACAAAAACATAAAAAATAAAATCTTACCTATGAAATGTTCTGCCTTTGTGCTTTGTTTTCTTTGTTTGCTTGTTACTACACCTATACACAGCGCAAAAGTCCAGCATCTTCACATTGGCATTAGTTTTGACTAGTACAGTTGAATAATTTTTGTTCTGGAAGCACTATCCCAATGTGGCAGCACTACTGATGCATGCTCAGGGTCCGTTTGCAATATAGTGTATATATCTATGGTGCATCTTTGTACTTTATTTACCATTAAATGACGCATATATGATAAATATAAGTGTACACAAAATGTATCCTTTTTTCTAGAATCGTTTTTTATGTCAAAAAGTTTATAAAATGTTACATTATAACTATATTTTATAATAAATACTTAATACTATATGGAAAATATATATTTAATAAGGCAATATGAATATAATTTTTACATTGAGTCAATACATAGTGTTTTAGTACTTCATATAAACACATGTTTTTAGTCTGAATGTAGAAAACATGTGTGTGCGTGCGTGTGTGTGTGAGCAACATCGTGCCCTCTATTTAAATTATCACCACACTTGCTGAACACAAATTTTGATGAACTTTTAAGTCATCATGTGGCCATCTGTTACACCACCTGCATTATTGTTTATGTGTTTTACAACACAACTGAACAGACTAGCACATAGCTCATTTTGGTAAATTATCAACATAACATATTTTAATGACTTCTACAAGGTTGTAACTTTTAAATATAGAGTCATCATGATACATTATGCTGCTTATAACATCCACTCTGTATTTTATGCTCCGGTATACCACAGTGCAGCTGCCTTTTTTACTGTAAGTTTAACAATGAATTTTACAGTGCAAACTCAGAGCTGCAATCAGACTCAATCTTTCCAGAGACTGATTCCTGTCATCTGCTACAGAGGATTTATGCTGAAAAATGTCATGCTGCAATTGCAGCTGTAAGACTTAAAGTTCAGGAAATGTCTGCACAGCGTTTACTTGATATCTTGTTTGGAGTTCAGCGGGTTCATCTCAGAGGGGGCGACAAGAGAAACACTGATAACACTGCCCTAGAAACACACGTGTTAGTGAGCAGGTCCCACTTGAGGGCTGAAACCGAATCCGTGTGTCTGGGGCTCGTAGGATGAGGAATGCAGAATACACGAATGATCTCCACAGGTTCGAGTTAAATGTGTATATGTCTTAATTCGCAACCTAGTTTTAAATCCCACCGGCTTTCCGGCTGGATAAGAGTCAGGTCTTTATTTATTAGGAGCACAAATTGTAAGGACGTGATTAAATTCGTTTCGTTGCCTTGCGCTCGCCCCCTTTGCTTGCATCACACTCTGGGAGAGAGACGGGCCCGCGCCTGGGAGCTGTCCCAGCCAACATGGTGCTGAAACCGCAGCGAGAGCGAGCATCCTCCGGCTTTACTGATGATTATCATAAACAACTCGTGTTAGAACTGCACAACGCCTATCGCCGCATGAACCGCAACGGTTTGGGATTACCACGCAGGAGCCACTTTATTATTTCGGCAGCATTTTGACTCAAAAGAAAGGAGCTAGATGTGATAAAACGACGGACTGTGTGAATGGCAAAAAATATTTCCTCATCGTCGACAGCGAATCTGCTTCAGCTCAGGACTGATTTTCGAGAGACATGTCTGACATTACGCGGGACAGTGATATAAACTGCCTTGGGATTTCTGCAACAAGGGCTGGGTGTTTAAAGAGATGCCTGCCTGAACACTGCCTGAACTAACAAGACGTTGGCACCTGACTTGTGAGGGATGCATTTGCAAGCGGTCGGACCCGAAACATGAGATGAAGGACAATTGCTGGCTAATTGGCAAGACTGTGGCTTTATTTCGTTTCAGGCAAGGCACTTTGCGTTCATATTAACGTCAGCTATTCGCGTCGCTTTCGGAAGATGGCTAATGATCGAGGACAATGTAAATTGGAGAACAGAAAATGCTATTCCATGGCTGGTCCACAATGTGTGCGTGTGCATCGTAGACTTTAGTTGTTTGATAATAAGACAAGCCAAGGCTACCGTTTGTTTGGACCTACTGACGAATAGCTTGCATTTCTGTTTTCCTCCTTTGATGAATAGATGCCACTGGCAAGAGTACCTGAGGGTAGAAGCTCTTTGTCAGAGGCTGTTCGCGGGAATTCCCTACATTTTTATTCAGGTCGATTTACTTGTCTGTTTGGTTCATGTAAAAAATGTTCGATTTGGATGTTTTTGACCTAGTTTTATAAACGCCATAAGTAGTGACAGTTCTTTAAGTAAACTAAAATGTGGCAACATCTAAACGACGTGGCTTTTATTCAAGTAAAAATATTACTTAATGTCTGAACCAACATTAGGTTACCAAAGGAGGTAATAAACTGATTTTGAGCGTTACATGTGCACGTTACCGCGGTCGACAGTCTACACGTGCGTACAATCAACTAAGTTGAAACACGCTCATTTATGTAGCTCTCGGAATCTTTTGAAAACAAACAACTTGCTGTGTCCAAACGGCTACTTAAAGAGAGGCTGTGTTGAAAGCGGCGTTCTTCCGGAGACTGAAGCAGCGACACAAGTGTTATTCCTCACTGGAAACTAAACCGTAAGTTGTGTTATGTGACCTGCTGGAGTCCAGTAACAGATAGCCTTAGCATTAGAGGCCGTTTAAAAACATAGACCGCCTTTTCATTATTCATAAGACGGGCACATGTTGTTGGCTATCGGTGTCATTGTATGGTGTTGGGGATTGTTGAGTCGCAGACCGATGCTGCGCCGCCAGGGCAAGCAGAAAGGCCGCTGTTGCGTCTTGTTCAGTGACCTGAAGGTTTTCCTACTCAGGCCACCGACACCGTCGGCATCGCCACCTGCCTTCACACCCATGAACGAACTAAACGCGGAGGGCAATGCGACGAGCAGCGCCACAGAGAGCCACTCTTTAGCCAACGGACATTATCAACCGGTAACAGGTGAGGAGGCTTTGGACACACGAGGGCCCGATGACTGGACCCATAGCGTAGTGGACCCGCCGAGGACACTGGACTGCTGCAGCTCATCTGAGGATTGTTCTAAGGAAAAGCTGGATGAAAGGTTATCACTCAACAGCTGCACGGACAGTGGAGTGAGGACTCCATTGTGTCGGATCTGTTTTCAGGGCCCAGAGCAGGTAAGCACTCAGAGTTCACATTGCTTTGCTAAGTCTGCTTGTTGTCCAGAATTGCTCAGTGTGCTGCTTGTTATATACACTAACGTTAATTCTATGTGCTGCCAAAGTGAAAACCAGCTGGGATAAGTTCATTGCACTTTTAAGACTTTTTTTAATATAATACTCAAGAAGCATAAGTTGGAACACTGAAGTAGAATTGACTGCAATAAAATAATACACGAGGAATATTTTCATAGGAAATAAATAAATATTTTCCCTTTGTTCAATAAGTGTTTTTTCTTCTTCTTTTTTTTATCAGCGCTTAAGCCAAAAAGTAGGAATGTCATTGATTGCACTACATTTTTAAATTCCACAACAATGGTTTTTAAAAAAATCCTGAAGTCATGCTTAATTTTACTTAAGTTACTTAAGTAAGAATGCAAAGTTATTTTAAAGACAGAAAATATAAGCACATTTTTGCAAAACAAATGAAGGTCAGATCATAAAAAAATAAATAAATAAATGAGGTTATTATTTAAACAATAAAATGTTTACGTGATATTGCATTGGACAGCACTATTTTTTGAAGACAGAAAAAACACAAGAATATTTTACAACAAAATAAAATGTAACAATAAAATTAATAATAATAATTCCTTTCATTTATATAGCGCTTTTCTAGACACTCGCTCAAAACATTGGGGGAGAATCTCCCCATCCACCACCAGTGTGCAGCATTCACCTGGATGACGCGATGGCAGCCATATTGTGCCAGATTGCACACCACACACCAGCTGATTGGCGAAGAGGAGACAAGAATAATGAAACCAGTTATGATATGGGGATGGTTAGGAGGCCATGATGGACAGATGCCAGTGGGCAAATTTGGCCAGAATGCTGGGGTTAAACCCCTACTCTTTTTTTGATGGACATCCTGGGATTTTTAATGACCACAGAAAGTCAGGACTTCGTTTTAACGTCTCATCCGAAAGACCGCAAAAGACTGAGCAGTATAGATTCCCCATATATATATACTGGGGCGTTAGGACCCACACAGAGCGCTGCTGGCCTCACTAACACCACTTCCGACAGAAAGCAAATTATAGTAGACTCTTTACTTGGGCCCTGTATTCATAGATAATGGACTGCTCACCCAAAAGTAAAATTTCAGTCCTTATTTTTTTCACAATTGATGCGATTTTTCATCAGAACATAAAAGACATTTTGAAAATATCAGTGAAGTATGAGACAACACAGTAGCTTTTCAGACTTTCTCTGAATGAGAGTAAAATCACAGCAGAATAATAGCCATCTGCACATATTTTAAATTATCCAAAACTATTTGTGCGTGCGTTCGTGCGTGCATGCGTGCATGTGTGTGTATGTGTGTTCCAGGGAAAAAATAAGAAAGGCAAGTCTGTCCTTTATATTTAAAATATTTTTTTTTACTTTTTTACTTTTATATATATATTTTTAAATATTTTTTTTTACATAAAATCAGCCAAAAAAAGCAGGTAATTTCACAAATGTCTAAGATGATTGAAAGTAGTTGTGAAAAAATGTCTAGTATGAATTTCTTCTCATTACACCTGATATTTTGTAATCTAAATGTGTATAATGAAATAAGTTTCCATTGCTGTTGTTCTTGAAGTGATTTGTCCCCATAAATCTGTTACTCTGCTTCAGTGATTTTATGACAGTGGCATTTATCCACTGCTAGGTGATTTGTTCTAATGGAATGGATCACATGACGGAAAGGTCAAGGGTTTGGACACAAAACATTGATCAAAGATTGACATCCATTACGCTGAAAATTGCATGACTGGCATACGGACAAATATATTGACTGGTTTGATATTTGCCCGGGTTTTGTCTGGGTGCTTATGTGTTGTGACATAGTTCTGCATATTTAGCATCAGAGAGTATATCGTCCTCTTCACAGGCTGATTTAGCTTGTAAATGAAATAATTTGATTTTCTCTGTCTCACCCCACACATTCTATCATTCTCTCTTGGTTGCATCCTGTCTCTCTCCTTTTCACTTTGCCCGTGTCTCTTTCTCCTTCCTCTTTCCATTAATGTGGGCTGTGGCAGAGTTGTGTGGCTGCAGGCTGATGGATGGGCCTGTGAGTGTAATGAGAGCTGTGTCGAGAGCAGATGGGGCTGAGGAGATTCTCTCCGCTCTGACTGAGCTGTGTATACCACTCCAATCCAGACACACACTCCTTCTCATTTTCTTTCTCTTCGCCACTGTTTTAACTTTCTCCAGCTGCTTCTTCCTATTTCTTTCCTTACATGTATCCCACTCTCTTTCAAAACCCCAAGTAGTAGATAAGTTCCCCTGTTGTACCCAACAGTGAGGGTAAGAGGGTCCTTCTCTTGTGCACACTGAACACGCAAGAACAATTACATGCTTGAGAACAAAAATAATCGTTTTCTCATTCTCCACTGTCCTCACGCGCACCCTCGTCCTCAAAACCACTGTGGAAAAAGTGCCCTGGACCTCCTAGGGTCTTGTTTTAATCAGCGTGAAAACAAGAAATGAAGGAGGCGAGAATCATTACAGATCCTGGAGGTGCTTTGAGTGGCATAAGTCTTTTTTACACCCTGTTGTGAGGAGCCACGTATGTGAACATCATTTCACCTTTATCTAAGAGAGTAATTGGACCACTGCGCTATTGGACATGACACAGACTAAATCATTAGTTTATTGTAGCGTTAGTAAAGTGTTTGAATTGGATGCGTTGGCTGTATACTTAGTTTAATCTTTCTTCTCACTGTAAAACCCAAAAAGTTAAGACAACTCAAACCATTTAAGTTCAAAAACTAATCCTATTGAGTACTGTGAACTTAATCCATTTGAGTAAACAAAGCAATCTGAGTACAGTAAAATCCAATAAATGAAGGGAACACAAACCAACTGAGTACTGTAAAACCTAATAAGTTAAGGTAACTCAAACTGTTGAAGAAAACTGATTACTACAAACCATTTGGGTAAAAAAAAAAAATTTACAGTATATGTGTACTGTGAACTTTGACAACTCTTATAAATGAGGAGTATTAACTTTTCAGTCAATCTTGAGTTAACTACATTCATTTCATTTGATAAAGTTGACTGGTGTAATATCTAGTTATTTATGTTCCCTACATTGTGTTTGTTTAGAAGGCATGCCATTAAGTCATTTGTCCAATTATAAAGTGCATCGTGTGCCATTCTCCTTATATAAAACATTGATAAATATTGGCAGAAGGGTGAAATTAAAAGTTTTTTTTTAAAGCAGAAATGTAATTTAGTTCTTATTCAGGAGATTTACCATACAACCCATTAGGGCTGCACAATGTATCGCTTTAGCATCAATTTCGCAATATGCGCATTCGCTATAATCACATGGAAGGACGTTCAATGTTGAGTTGGTATCATAGTCGAGCAGGAGTTGTAACCGTACTAGAGAAAAAAAAAAGTATAATTTGCATGTGTTTTTAAGGACTGTGACTGTGTGAGAATTTCAGAAGAGCTTGAAGCTTTAAGGCACAAGAAACTGTATAATTTGTAGCTTTTTAATAAAGGGTAGTTTTACAGAATTATTAATATGATGAAGGCTACAATGCTATTTTGCATTTGCTTATTGGATTTCTATATTTGAATTCTATGAAGACTGCTTATTTCATTTTTTATATCTTTGCTCAAAATGCTTAATTTCTATTTTAATATTTTTTTAATGCAAATGATTGAATCCCCTTCAGGTTAATCTCAATCAACCTAAATTAATGAATTTATTCCAAATAGAGCTATTGAAACAATCTGCTTAAATTGTATTTATATCGCAATATATATTGCAAAAAAAACAAAACAAATTGCCATGTCTACACTGAATCATTCCTTAAACGTAATTAATGATGTTACCAAAAGCAAACAAGACTTTTAATGTTACTTGTTTGTAATGTTACTTATTAGTTAATGTTTCAGCTATTAAACAGTGTTTGAATAAACCACTCTTGGAAACGTAATTTTTTATACACAATTGCCACTGTTTAAATGTTTAATGAGGTATCAGCTGATCCACTTAATACTTTGTGTTGCCATTAATGTTTATTCAACTCGTAAATATCATCTTTCCAATATGACTTGACTGTACAAGTATTACCAGTGAACAGAATGTTCATAATGTAGCTAAAGTGGCTTTTCTGACCAATGGGATTTCACATTGAACAATCCTTCAATAGAAGTCAATAAAAGATAGGGAGGTATATTTTTGGCAATATTCATTTATTTATTAATTTTTCTTTGGAATAGTCCTTTAATTTATCAGGGGTCGCCACAGCGGAATGAACCGCCAACTTATCCAGCATATGCTTTACACAGTTGATGTCCTTCCAGCTGCAACCCAGTACTGGGAAACATCCATACACTCTAATTCACGCATATACACTTTGGCCATTTTACTTAGTTAATTCACCTATACCACATGTCTTTGGACTGTGGGGGAAACCGTAGCACCTGGGGAAAACCTATGTGAACACAGGGAGAACCGCGACAGACTCCACACAGAAATGCCAAATGACCCAGTCGGGTTCGAACCAGCAGCCTTCTTGATGTGAGGTGACAGTGCTAACCACTAAGCTACCATGTTGCTTTTTGGCAATAGCCAAAACGTATCAAATGGGTAAAAGCCAAAATCATTAAAATAAAATGTAAAGATCATATTGCATAAATATATATTGTATATTTCTATATCAAAATAATTTTTAATTAATAATTTGAATTTGTATTAAAGCTCAATTAGGACAATTTTCAAGGTAATTTTATCATCATTTGGATTTTTTAAAGCCTCAGATGACAGATATTCAAAAGTTGTATTTTGGCCAAATATTGTACCTTAACAAATCATATATCAGTGGAAGGCTGATTTATCAAGCTTTCAGTGATGTGTACTGTTAATCTCAATCTTTAAAAAACGTTACTTATGACTGGTTTTGTAGTGACACAGTGGCGCAGTAGGTAATGCTGTCGCCTCACAGCAA